CAGCGGCAGGCAGTACAAATCAGGCAGTGAAACTGCACTGGAGGACGAGACAGGGGACAGCTTTATGACCAATTTTATCAGGCTTGCAGAGAAGACAAGCTTAAGAGAGGGCCAATCAGCTCTGTACTTAAGGACCTCTCAGAAACAGCCCCGGGGTCAAGAAGAACGATTCTGCTCTGACCCCAGGTTCAGCTCAGCCCTGTCTGCCTGGAGATGGCTGTCATAATCCCTACAGGCACCAGGGACCAGTCTGCAGCCTACATTGCACTCGGCACAGAGACACCCAGGCAGGGTAAATGTGGAAAAGGAAAACACCAAACCAAACCAAGGAATCAGGCCAGAAAAGCCAAATGAGCTTCATTTGGGCTCAAAAATCGTATCTTTATGAGCTCAGGATAAGGAAGGATTTCTGAAATAAGACTCAAACACAGTACAGGCCATAAAGACTGATAAATACGACCCCACTAAATTCTAAAACTCCTGGTAAACAAAATACCACAAACAGCTTAAAAGGTAAGCCACTAACGGAAAGACTGCACCTGCTGCATTTAGGACCCACAAAGATCACCACCTAGGATTTTCCAAGACTCTAACAGGCAATACAAGCCACCCAAGAGGAAACTGGACAGAATGTATGAACAGGTACTTTCACTGATGAGAAAACTCAAAATGCCACTTAATATATACTCGAGCTCACTTGTAATCAAAAAATAATTAACGGAACCAGAAAGTTCTCTCTCACACCCATCAAACTTGCAAAAATTTGAAGTCTGACATTTTCAAGTGGTGAGATGCTGGGAAGCACAGGAACTCACACTGCACGCGGCAGAGTAACTGAGAAGAACCACCCAGAAACTTCTCGTGAGGCGGAAGACGCTCCGAACCTTTGCCCCCACCAGTCCTCTTCTGGCACATACCCCAGGCCTGAGGAGAAACGCACTGAGAGACAGCAGCAAGAGAACCCTCACCGTGGGTACCGGGAGGATAGAAAATTGCGAGACAAACCGAATGTTCCTTGAAAGGAGAATGGATGAAAACACGAGGACACATTTGTCCAACGGACCACCACCCAGAGCTTCGATGTAGCACACTGGGGTGGCAGGAGTCCACATGGACGAAGCTGAGAAACGGAACGCCCCGTGGAAAAAAGCAAGCTGCAGAAATATCACTAACATCACGCTGGAAAACTTGAAGAATTTAATGGATAGATGCAGATGCAGAAGTATTTTTTTAGGGGTGCCTGGGTGGCTCCGTTGGTTGAGCGCCTAACTCTTGATTTTGGCTCAGATCACGATCTCAGGGTCCTGAGAACGAACCCAGCATCGGGCTCCACGCTCGGTGGGGAGTCTGCTTGAGATTCTCTCTCTCCCTCTGCCCCTCCTTGACATGTACGACGGCGTGCTCTCTTTTTCTCTCTTAAGAAAAAAAAAAAAAAAAAAAAACGGTATTTTTGTAAATGTACAGGAAAGAAAAATAGCAAATTCAGGAGAGTGGTTAGCCTCTGGCGAATGGGGTCAGAGGGGATGCGATGAACTTCAAATGTAAGATTTCTTTCCTTAAAACAATCTGAAATCGGCATCCCGGAGAATTAGAATTCAGTCGAGCTGGGTAGAAGGCACAGGCTTTGTGTTATTCTTGGAACTATTCCCCATCCTTCAAAAAATGTTTCATTAATAAAATTTATTACCAAGAACAAAAAATATGCTAATATTTGAGGAAAATCTCTGAAAGACATATGGAACCATTTACCACTGATATCCTCGCTTCAAAAGCCCCATCCACTATAAAAGGATGAGAGATAAAAGGGGGCAAGTGTTCACAGTGGGGGGAAAAAGAGCAAATGCAAGGACATCCATCTGGGAAATTCGGTCTATTGTGAGCTCTTTTCATTTTCTGAAAGGCAGCAACAGTTGCAGAGAAGCAGCAAATTGTGGAAGAGAAAAATAAACACGTCTCATAAGATAGATTCACCCACCCACCTCATTAAGCCAGGACATTCCAAAAATAAAAATAGCAAGGCCCAGCCAGAAGGTCAGATATTTTTTTAAATACTAACTCCCTGAGATGTCAGGGTCGGAAAAGCCACAGTAAAGGCTGTCTTTCTCAGAATAGTGCCATCTGCCCCCTCCCCGCTCCACGAGGGGTTGCAGGAGGCCAAGCCAAGAGGGGCCCGGCTCTGATCTGGCACGCCCAAGCACAACCGCCAAATGCCTGCCTCTCTACAGCTGTGTGACTTCAGACAACTAAACTACCCTCTCTGAGCTAAAGCTTCCCGCTTGCAAAACTGGGGTAAGCCCACCTCCTGGACTGGGTTGACGAGGGATAGAGGGAGAGAGAGAATATCTGTTAATAGCTAAAAGGGGTAAGATAAATAGAATAAGAGCAGTTGGCGGATACTTGGGGTTGAATACATCGGGCTGCTATTGGTCACTCGTTCCCTCCCTCCATGCATTCTGACTCTCCTCAGAGAGCTGGTACTGCCAGTGGTGCCCAGAGGCCAGGTCCCTTTTCTCCACCCGCCTCCGTGAAAAGGGCACAGCCTGGGCAAGTGGGGCTGGCTGCCTAAGAGCGCATGTCACTGAGGCGCGAAGAAAGCAGACTTGGGAAGACAGACCCTCAGTTTGAAGAACATAGTAAAGGAGCTCACAACGTGACCTTGACTGTGTCTCTTCTAACACACACCAGTCTGTCTGATAATTCCTAAGAAATAAGCAACACTTCTTGGATCATCCCTAGGGATCTTTAAGAGCAGCCAAACTACAAACATGACTCAACTCTTTGGAACAACATGGATATGACCCAGGTCAAAGAGAGGTACGTAGGCTCCAGCACCGGGATCCGGAGGAGGTGTTCCGTGTCCCCGGGCCTCAGTTCTCCCATGCGTAAAACCAGGCAGGAACGGATGACATCCAAGTTCCTTTTTAACTCTCAACTTGCTATTCCTGCTTCTGTGGACACAGACCCAGTCCCCGTGGCAGGCAAACACTCATCATCTGCCTGTCCTAGATACATTCTTCGGCATTTAAAAATAATACCTGGGATTTACATAGAGTCCTCCAGGACAGAACCGAGCACATCCCTGCGAGGCAGGTACTCAAGGCAGTTCCTCCTTTTGCAATACAGAGGGACTTCAGACCCAGAGAGCAACGGGGACCTGGCCAGAGAATCCAGGTTCCCAGACCCCCCGTGACACTGTGCTTGCCTCTGCTCTGACACCGCTGGTCCCATCCTCCCCTGAAGTAACCTCCAGGGCACCTGAAATCAGACCTGCCTCCCGTTCCCTAGGGACTCAAGGGCCTCCACGGGTCACTGCAATTATCTATAATCGTCCATCACGCGGCAGCCAATGAACAGCGGTTTGGCTTATCACTTCCGATCAAGGGAGGGACTCTGCCAGGGAAATCACCACCGCCAGCCTGTTACCACCAAGCAAGGGTGGAACACAGATTAACTGGTGTGTCTTCTTAAATTTTCTTAAGTAGCTTAATCCATTAAACCGGTCCATCCAGCTTCTAGAATCTGCTCACGGCAGCACCCTCCCTCCCCACTGGGAGCGGGAAGACAGGCCCTCCATCCTGAGGAGTTAGCTGACTCCTTGAGCCAATGATGTTTGCACATCGGGCAAGTGTTAGAGTTAAGCAGTGTTTACTGCTGGTGTCCCTGCTCTGGGATGCGCGTCAGAGTGAGCGCGGCTTTCGGAGCCAGCAATTTACCTTCACGACAGACTTGCCGGATTCGGTGACTCAAAGGGCTGACACCGTGAAGACGAACCTGTTTAGGCTTTCCAGACCGCTGGAGGGTAGCTTATGACGACGGTCCAGAAGAAAAATCGAATTAAAGATTAAAGAGGGATTATAGAGCTTGTCTTGCTCAGGTCAGCCCAGGAGCCCACAAACTGAATTCTAATTCCACCTCTTCCCAGCTCAGGGAATGGCTTAAACCTCTGAGCCTCAGTCTCCTCATTTCTAAAATGGAGACGGACCAAATACAATCTTGCCAAGCTCCCTGGGCACCCCTCTGGTACCTCTGTCCCTCTGGCACCAATGTCACACAGGGGCAGAAGTGAAAACACCCAGGGTCTTGATGTGTTCCCCTCATACCAGAGAAACCTAAATTAATTAAACAGTCAGCAGAAGCTTCTGGGATTTTTCACACGTTTTAGAAGACAGCATGCACATAAAGGCTATAAGATGAGCCAGAGTTCACTTGTTAAAGGTATTATTACTCACTATTAAAGAATTACCATTATAGAAATTACCATTATAGAAAGGCTAGATGTAATGCAGGCACAATCATTCTCCATGGGTGAATATAAAATATTCAAAGTTAGCCCAACACTTTCGACCATAACCTGAGCAGGTAAGAGCCTGCCCCCAGAACTCTTGGGCAAGAGAACTTTGTGTATGATATGGGCTGTCATCAAGATCTCACACAACTGCCCGTGTGACAAATCCGCCATTCTGGGATGACCCACTCTCTCAGAGCCGGCTCATGAGAAATCATGAATGGACACCTGTTAAGGGCAGGGGACAGAACCGGGTTCATGTGTGCATCTAGTAGCTGAAGTTACCCATAAGAGTCAGCCCACCCCTCCCACTTCTGTTCCATACTGGGCTGGAGGTGGCCTGAGTCAAGTCTTAGGGCTCCATCCACACGGAGGCTGACTTCACCTCTCCCCAGGATAAATCCCAAACCATCAGCACCCTACACTTGGCCTTTTGTTTGTTTCTTTCCGTATCCAGGGAGTAGTGACAGCTGCACCGAAGACCGTGGCATTTTGGGCTGGGACTCTGCTCCAGAACAGGCAAAGCAGCAAGCCTTCTGCTAGTGGAGGCAGCAAGGGAGGGCCTGGTGGAATGAAGGGGCCTAGAAGGGTGTGGTCAAGGCTCTGCCTCCGTCGTCAATGGCCATGGGAGCCCTGAGACCCGGGAGCCCAGCAACTCCAGTGCCTGGCAGCCCTGACATCCTCGGCACCAACAGTCCAGTTTGTTTACCAATACGGAAGGTGGTGGTGACCGTCTCCAGGCCCTAGGCATGAAGAGAAGGACCTCGGCTCCAATGTGAACCTGCCAAGAGCTGAAGCAGCAGCCCTGATCAAGGATATTCCAGCAGAATAAAGAAACATAATGAAGCAGAACTGCCAGCATGGCTGGAGAGACTCTCCCTGTCCCTTCTTTCGTCGATCATGCGCCTTTATGCCAAAGATATGAGAGACGAGGGTTTTTCAAGAGAAATGAGGCAAGGGATCCAGCTTCTCACTGAATGCTGGCAATAATCAGCTCTGACAGGCACCAACCCCTGCTTGGGGCCGCTCGCCTTCCTCTGCACACCACGATCCGCCCTGTGCTGCACAAATGATAATGCGTTTACCCACGGCAGGGACTTCCCAGCCAGGAGGAAAAATTTCACCTAATTAAATAAAAACAAAACAGAAAACCAAAGCCTTTCACCAGTGCCAAGAAGAAGACTAACTACTGATCTTTTGTGGACTTGAGAGGCAGGAATGCCAATCATGATGATGTTCTCCCCCAATCTCATAAAGCAATCCTCTGCGTCCCGAACTGCAAAGAACGCCTTAGAAACCAGGAAGAAAAGTGCAAGAAGAATGAATAAAGAAAACGACAGAGCAAATCACAGAACATAAAGACGGCTAATACACGGAAGGAGAGCACACAGCCTCGCTGGCGGTTAACAAAGTCAAGTGGACACGCCATGTTTAAAAAGAATCTGAGAGGCCAACGCTGAAAAGATGGGTAATTCTGAGAGCTGGCAAGGGTGAGAGGAAGTTGGCCCCCTTCATCCTACCGGTGAGAGTAGGAGCTGGTGCGCCCTCTAGAGGCCATGTGCAGGACCCGCCACTACGGATGGCGCCTACCTTTGGGTTCCATTTCTCGGAATCCATGCTTTGGAATGTGTAAGTGCATAGAGAAACACATCGGGGGTTCTCCCCGCCCCCTCTACCTATTTGTCATGTCATGCTCAAAACCTCAATGAACTTAAATACAGACCAAGGGGGAGATGGGCAAACATGATACAGCACATCTGTGCTAGACCACCACCACCTGTAGGAAGAATATTCACAAAAGGGTTGGGGGGGTGGGGAGCAAGTCACAAAACCACACATGTGGCATAGCATAAGCTATGTCTGCTGATCTCTAGAGATGTACGTGACAATGTACAGGCACCTGTCGTGATGTTTATACCTGCAAGGTCCTAGAACACACACTCTGATGGAAGAACCTGAAAGGTCTCTTAAAAATAGGAGTATGTTGTTATTGGCATCTTTTCTTTGAAACGAATTCCTTAAAATATCTCCATAATAAATGTGGATGAAGAAGTCAGAAGAGTAACCAAGATGATCCCAGAGAGGGAGTGCAGAGCATGGCTCATTAGCAAATCACTTATACGTGCACATGTACACACACACGCACGCACACACATGGCTGTTAGCGTCTTTAACCTTAGGAAGCAAAAGTCAAAAGGAAAAGGTCCTCCTTGTCACCAACTTACAACCTACAAAAAAGACAAAGCATTCCCTCAAACTTTAGAGAAGCTGGGCAAGAGCTCTTTTACCTAATGATGAAATGAAAAACCCCCAAATGTTGGCACCCAACTAAAAAAATAAGTAAAAAACCAAATAGGGAATCATTTGGAGAAACCTGGGGGTGGCTATTTCTTAATGAGTATTTCAGGGAATTACCCAAAGGCTTTACTCCTATTCCATTTCAGAACACAGCTCCACTCCACAAGATAGCCTAAGAGCCACCTTTCCACAGCATCCCGCCGCCCTTCCCTCCTGCCCGCCCCACGTCCACAGCCTGCATGGGAGTCGAAGCTCAGACTCTGATCGGGGAGAGAAATTAATTTGTCGTCTGTGAGGAATGTGGTGTGTCTCTCCAAGGCGTGCTTGTGCTCACTACGAGCCCACAATTAACAATTACAGTGTGCTCTGGACTCCCGCTTCCTGGCTACTGGATCAGCCAGGGGGCAAGAGGCCCCACTTTCTGCTGGAAATGTTCAGGGCCTGCAGCGAGAGCACCAGACCCAGGAGCCTGAGGCTGGTGGGGTGTCTGGTCACCAAGGTTCTGGAGTCACCGTCCCAACCTAAGTGGCTGGAGGGTCATCCCACAACCCACCTCCTGAGTAAAGGGACGGAAATTAGATGTTTTTAACACTGAGAGAATGGAGCCAGACACTCCTAGTTTTGCCAGTGCAAAACCAGGCCAAAGCAATCTCTGATGTGGGCAGTCAAGAAGAGGGGTGGGAGGACCGGGAGGGTCGCAGCGGGGCTGCTGCGGTGTTGGTATTGCTCTATTTCCTGATCTGATCACTGGTCCCCGGGGTGTGCTGACCTTGGGAAAATCCATGGAGCTCCCCACTAAACATGTGTGCCCTTTTCACTATGTATGTTGAATTTCTACAAGCTTACTTAAATAACAAAAGTAAATCTTTCCAACGGGAAGCTGGCTCCCAGGCACCAACTCTGTCCTTCCTTTTCTACAGCCCCAGCCACTGTCAAATGCACTGGTCAAAGTCACGCCAAGTCCAACGGTCCCCGGTGCCGTGTTTGTGGTGACGGGCAGGGGACTGGCAGTGTGACCAGTGGGGAATGGAATGTCCAGCATTTATTTTTAATTGATTTGCTCATTTTCTCCTATCAAAACAGCTTCACTCCTTTTCTCCAATGCCCAAAATGGCATCAGCCCCACCCGGATAAACCCCAAGCATGCGAACTTTTCAAGCCCGGCACAAGGCTCGGCAATCCCATCTACTGAATCCGTTTGAACAACAAACCTGCAGGAAGCATCCAGAAGGTCTGCCAGGCTACTCCAGCTCTCAATCCAAAACAAGTCTGAACCAGGGGTGTGACTCTCCTCCAAGTCAATGCCTTCTTCAGTCACCTTTGCCCTCCCTCCCCAAACTCTCCTGGGGTTCATCTTGGTTATCAGGGATACGTGGGGTACCCACCACCACTGCCCAGATGTTCAGGGAAAAGAGCCTCAGCTCACAAAAAGCACAGTTAGTCGCAGCTCACCAGCAAAGCGGCTGCCACTTCTAGAGAGCACAGCAGGCACGCAAGGAGCAGTGAGGACGGCCACCTGGCCAAGGGGAGTCTCTGATCTGAAGACATTATCGGGGCACCGCCCTCTGCATACTTCCGGCAACCTTGACACATCTGGCACGACTGGGACCATCATTTTATACAACAGCATTACCGCATTTTCATTAAAGGCCAGGTTGGTAATAGCAGGTGTTGTGTTCCCTACACAGATGCATTATGTTCCTATCCAGCACCCCTCTGTCTGTCTGTCTGTCTGAGATCAGACAGCTTCTGTTCAAAATTCAGACCAGAGCAACTCAGTCTCCTGACACCTCCCCCACCCCAGGAAAAATTCCAAACTTGGGTAAACACAGAAAGAACCGCTCCAAGCTCAGACTGAGAGCGAGGCAGGCGGTAAGGCGGGCAAAGAACACCTCGGGTGGCCCAAGAATCACACACCCGCAGTTCAGCAGCAAGACACAGGTCCAAAAATCACACAGGAAAGCCTGAGAGAGAAAGAACCGACTAAAGACTTAAAAATAAGTTTCTTTGTTAAGGGGGGGGGCAGAAGGTGCCAGTAAACCTGGACTTGATCAGCTATCCTCTGGTGCCGTCCAGATGCTAGTGGACGACCCGTAAACAGGACGAGCTGAGCCCCGGACGGTCCAGCCTCAGGGGTCAGTGAAGCTGGTCAGTGAGACGCAGGAAGGCTTCAAGGAACAAACCTCGAGCCCATCCCTTGGGGGTTACAAGCACGTGAGAAGGAGAGCAGGGAATCGATTCTGTAAAACACCATCCAGAGGAAAAGACGACCGTCCTTCAAGGTTCCTTGTCATAAGCAAGCTGCCAAGAGGCTGAGGGGCCGGCCCTGGGACCGGCACATACTTTCAGGAAAACGTCTGCTCTTACCAGACTCCTCGGAATCAGACGGTATCCTCAGGATTTCTTAAAGAACAAGAAAGAAGAAAGCCCAGACACATTGATGAGACCGTTTAAGTCTCAGAATGTTCCGTACAAATAAATAAGCACAGCAACTCCAGCCCCACGTGCGCCAAATACAATCATCGATGCGCAAGCCAGTGTAGACACAGCGACTTTTTTATGGTCCAAAATTAAGAACTGCAACAGAGAAATGGGAATTTAAACATCCCGTGGATTTCCGCTCTCTGCCCCCTGCTTTGTCCCCACCTTTACCACCCACCATGTTTCCGGGTTTCAAAATTCCCGGAGGTTCACATCTGTGACAGAGCTAGCGTACTCAGAATGTACTCAGAATCCATAATCTCTAACTGCTTCGACTACAGACGGGAGGCAGTCCAAAGGTACTGATTAAACTCAATAGGAGGAAACCACCTTCAAGGGCAGTAGCAACAAAAGAGCGATCTTAGATCTTAGACATTTCGCAGTAAGGACAGCTGTGGCTACGCCCACCTTCTTAGACAGCTATGTGGGCGATGAAGTCACACATTTACAAGTGCTGGTGACAGGCCACCCTCTCCTGCCCACATCACGGCACACTCACCGGGTGCTAGTGCTTTGTGCATTTATTTATTTATTAATCCACACAACATCCCTACAGACCAGACCACATCCCCCTTTCACAGACGAAAAAACTGAGGTTCACGAGGCCACACGAGCCAACGAGCACTGGGATGCAGATCAAGGTCCATCTGGCTCCCCAAACACTCTCTCCTCCACCACCCTCGTGTTCCGGAATCAGCACAATATGAGGAAGACCTGAGCTACAATGCTAGGGCTCTCCCCTCAGCCTTTCAAGGTCACAATCGGGAGGATTCTCGGAAGAGCAGAACTTCTGACATACAAATCCTAACAATTATGTATCCGGAGCATGGGAGAGCCATCCAGTTTGAAACTGGGCAACTACTGCGTTCTCACCGCCTAACTGCCTGAGCTAACATTCTCTTTGACAATGACGCTGTGCCGCCACACGGGTCCACCGAACAAGATGCTTGTATTAGTATCTACCCGCTATCTGCTGCACGCTGTTCTGTAGTAAGCATTCATTCAAATAACTGAGCCATTTAAGTACCCAAAAAGCACTTAACAAGCACAGAATATACTCC